GCCCCGCCCCTCGCTCCCTCACCCTCCTGCTGTGTGTGTAGTTTATGAAGTATACCATGGTTTTGGTATTCGACATAAGCATTAGATACTTATTTTTAAAATTTCAGTATGATTATAAAACTGTCAGGAAAGTCACCTGTCTGCTGATTGCATCTCTGCAGTTTGAACCAGTTCCTGAACCAATCCAACGAAGTTGCTTATAAAACATTGGGCTTTTTATCTTTTATTCATGACCTGACAGTTTCCCCATGCAATGTCTTTGGACTAGAACACCTCTGAACGAGGAAACAAAACCAACCTACTTGCAATACCAGAAATCACGTGGAGCCCAACAGCCTTTCAGACTTCACTGGTAAACAGCCAGATGGGAGCCTTGTGGATAACCGAGAGATGCTTCACGGTTATCTTTCAAACAATGCAAATACTGAACAAAATAGTCAGCTGAATATCTGCAGCCTGTTTGGTTTTGATGACTTTCTTCCTTTGGTTTTCTACCTTGCTTCAGAATGATTTGGACCCCAGCGTGGCAAAATTTCTAAGTACCTGCCTAATTTCAGGCACATTTAAATTATCTTTAGATCTGCTGCACTGTTAGTTAGCGGGGAATCATTCACATCAGGTGGTTGCACACATATGTTTTTGAATTGAGACCTATTTATCAACCGTACTCAGTTTACAATGAACTCTTAGGGAAAGAAGCTTACAGTTTAATCTTTGAAATATGGCCATAAAAGGTTCAAGATACGGTGTCACATTGGTTCTACCTGTAACAAGACTTACTGAAGAAAAGACAGGATAGCAAGGAGGGTTTTGTATTTTATGTGCAAAGCTGGGATGTTTCCAGACAGGATAAAGCCTTGAGCAACCTGGGCTGATCTCGTAGCTGATTGTGCTTTGAGCAGGAGGTTGGTCTGGAGGCATCCGGAGAGCCCTTCCAACCTGAAGTATCCCGTGATCCTGTGATTCAGTCTATCACAGTAAAGGGAAGAGCAGTACACACTGTTCAAAGATTTTCGGGGAGGAGGGGGGGAAGGTTCACAGTAAATGACAATATAGTTTATTTCTGTTTTTTCCCCTTACGTTTTAGCTGAAAACAGTCATTGATACCTATAAGCAAGCTAAAAATGGCCAAAAATATTTATTCCATATATAGTATCTTTGACTGTCTTTTCTTTTGTGATCAACTCTTCATGCACTGTAAGATGCAAGTAGAGCAAAGCAACTTGAATGAACAAATATGATGGTAATGGTCCCTGATACATATGTAGGAGAGACTGCATGCAGCTCCAATGAGAGGATGGCAAAGCACACATCTTGCAGCCTACAAAAGAGAAGGCTAAAAATGGCAAGAAAAATCCCATTTCTGAATTGCTCAGTGGCAAATGGTGGTTATAACTTCAGCCTGCCTTGGAGCAATGGCAGTGCTCGGATCCCTAGGTTACAGTCAGCCCTGGCTCCTGTGTCTAAGCTGTCGGGAGAGACTGCAAACAGCTGTGCAAGCGTTGTTTCAGTCTCTGTGTGCCACGAGCAGCACACAGGGACCACAGCAGGAGCGATCATTTCTGAGTAAGAATATGTCAAATCTACCAATACATTAATTTTTAATAAACAGTAAGTATAACAAGACAAAACTGCTAAAAATCTGCTACAGTTGCAGAAAAATGCCTGCCTGTGGAAAGTCACATAAAAAGTAAGTGCTGTGTCATATCCAGTCCCCATCTACCTCCCTGCAAAGAGGAAGTCTTTGGACCGTCTTTCTTCAGTGCAGGTAGACGTACCTAGCACATTTAACCCAATACGTTCCCATTACTGCAACAAAATCAACTCACCTGAAAAAGTGACTGGAAATACTTCTGCACTTTCTGCGCTGTCCAAATGTAATAATAGTACTTGTGGTGTTCAACACTGTCTGCAAATAAAGCTTTCGCTCAGATGTGTAATCTAGAAAGCGCATACAGAATAATCTTTGCTACATGTATAATCTTTTGGCAGATTTTCTCTTAAATATAGGACTCGATGGTAGTATTTACTTTCTCCCCATGTTTCAGTTGAAGGTTTACATAAGGAAGAACTAGACCTACAATTAAGGGCTGTTTCTGAGTTCAGAAGATCTCCTAACAAAAGTAGCTATGACAAGCAGGGTGGTGTAGGAGACAAAGATGGCCTTAGACAATGCAGAGCTCCTGAAATGGAAGCTGAGGTTGTAAACTATTCTTTAGAAAATAATTTTCCTATTCTCCTGCCAAAATCTAAGCCCTGAGGCAGTCCAAGTGTCCATCTTCAGCTGCACTACCCGCACCTGCCTAGCAAACACCTCAGACCTGTGCCTTTCTTCATTTTCTTATAATATGACTCGCTTCCCAAGAGAAGGAGCCCAAACTCATTCCTGGAAATCTCCTTAATTCCCTACCTCCCAAACAAACCACCAGTGTCCATAGCTGGCTGGTGGTGCCCAGGGCAGCGGGATGCAGGTACATGGTGGTGCAGGTGCTGGAGCCGCAGGAACCCGTTACCGCATGTCACTGTTCTCCTGGTGCCTGTTTGCACTTACCCTACAGTGAGTTGAGAGTATTTGAGATTACTGTAAGTACATCTGCTGGGTTGGGGGTAAATCCTGCCCGAGGGCAGTTACGACAGCTCAGTTACACCATAGTAGTGTTCTTAAGAGAGGTTGATTTAAACAGAAATGCAGCATCCTTGAAAAATTGCTAGGACCACTTTTGCCTAAGGCCAGTTCTGACACAAGTCATAGTGTAACTAAGGTGGTATCCATCCATCTATTATAGGGATATTCAGGATGCCTTCATCAAAAGCAGCGAGAAGAAGAAACTTGAGAACATAAGTCAGTGGACCAAATAGAGATGTTTTCTTTGGGCTGAGACAACTGTGCTCTGTAAACACCAGCTTCTCTCCCTCGACTATAAAGGGAGCCTATGGGACCCAGTTCAGGTGTAGAGGTCTACAGTGGTGTCACCAGCTTTCAGATGGATGAATCCAACCTTAACTGCCTGGTGATGAGAGAAGGGTACATATTTTTACCTTGCAGCTCACCATAATTAATGTTATGATAATGTGTGATTGAGTATGCATTATGGCATATAGCAAGGACAGACTTTATTTCTGCATGATAGGCTTTTAGCCTGGTAGATATGTGGCTGTGAAACAAGACAATTTCCTATCATTTGGCAACTAGTGTGCAGTCAGTAACTGGAAAATTAATCAAACACCGTCCTTATTTTTCACCACTAACATTTTCCATGTTAATGTATCTGCATGTCTATGTCTGCATCATTGTAAAGGACAGATGTAAAGGAATTACCCCCAACTGCATTTGCATTTCCACCAAGTGGAGAGATATATATATTATATTCTCTCTATCACTGCTATACCACCATCACTGCTATCCAGCTATACCACCAAATGTATATAGCTTTTCCAAAATGGAAAAACTGGTATTAGCTGAAGAAAGCCTTTCTCCCAGATTAGGTGCTGGAGTGAGTCTTATGTGTTGTGGGTTAACGAAAGTAGGCAGCTAAGCTCCACACAGCTGCTTTTGCACTCCCCCCCAGCAGGATGGGGAAGATTAAAAAAAAAAAAAAAGATTAAAAAAAAAAACAAACCCAAACAAATGATGCAAAAAGCAATCATTCACCACCAAGCCAACCAATACCCAGCCAGTCCCTGACCTATGGCCCCCTGGAAAACTCCCCCCACCTCCCCAGCTTTTATTGCTGAGCACGATGCCCTGTGGTATGGGATATCCCCTGGGTCAGTTGGGGTCAGCTGTCCTGGCTGTGTCCCTCCCAACTTCTTGTGCACCCCCAGCCTACTAGCTGCAGGCACAGCGTGAGAAACAGAGAAGGCCTTGATGCTGTGCAAGCACTGCTCAGCAATAGCTAAACATCAGTGTGTTATCAGCGCT